CCTTGAAAACACAAGTTTCAACCATGATTCTATACATACGTAAGCAAACTAGCAAGTTCTAGTAACCGTTGGTTCGGCCTGAATAGATACGGTGAAGGTATTATCAGTGACATATTATCAAAGTGTATATTTTTCACAATAAATTGATTGTCACAATTCCCCTAGGCAAGAAATATACAGTCATCTTGAAAGATAACGTTTCTCCCTCAACATAGTCAGAATTCGTTCCTAACCCTAATAGCTACGAAAAGGAGCAGATACTAGCTCACCAAATGCAACTTACGTAGTCAGCACTACGAAGAGAGTAATACAAACGGAGTATTAACTCGGGTAGTTATATGCGAAGGGCTAGAAGTAGTTGATGGTAAATCTACTTTACTGACTTGCCATAAATATATCAGTTAGCTAGTATTAATGACATACGTGGGCATTGATTAACATATATCGGTAGACTATTATCAAAGCTAGAGTCGTTAAGTCCTTCAGACAGCTACATAGACAATGCCATCCTCACATAAAAAAATAGTGCGAGGAGGGTCTAGCTGGCTGCCGTGCTGACAGAACCCGCACCACCTAACTCCCTCGGCATCTTTACATCTTTACGAGATCCCCAGTATGAGGTTCAACTAGTAGAAATAATATTATCTCTAGTAATTGCTCTTATCTCTAACTAAGCTGTAACTTTATTAATCTATCCTGGTATCAATACATAAGACAACAGTAAAAGTCTCTAGGATAAGTGAATTACTTATAATTATTTTCTTTTTGTAGTTAACTAATATTTAGCGACTCTCATCTTTACTATGTCCAGAGGTCCGTACAGCTTCCAGAATTATCTATCATGGGTATCTCAGTTTATTAGCTTGAAAACTGTTCAAAGGGGCGGTCTGGTTATATGTCCCAGTCCACGCAAGAATAAATGATCAGTTTTTGCGTTTCTATTGGTCTGCTGAGGTAAAATGGACTATCGAAGTTGACCTTGTTAACTCAAATCCTTTTCTATGATAATACAATCTCACCATAATGATGAACCCATAACAACATAGAGTCACCGCCTGGACTGGAGACATCTCATTGCAACTGGTCAACTCTATGAATAGGCCCTGTATCCGATACACTTGGAAACAGTAATATATGACATAATACATGATATCCATCGTGTAAGAACCAAAATAGGGAATGTTGGTTTTTCGTTACATGGCCCTCCCAATCTCATGTCGTTTAATACAACGCATTCTAGTCACCAGACCCGACCTATGTATATTGATACGTATGAAGGTTCTTGCTGCTTCTATTTAAAATATTATTTTATATTTTAAGAAATAAAACGCTGTTACAATGACCCTGCATAGTACGTATTATTGCCCCGCCTGGAGTGTGGAGATACCTCAAGGGTGAATCTTACAACATGTGCAAGTAGGACTTTAGACAAACCGGTAGTACGGCACAAAGAACAACCAATCTAACTACATAACTGATAAGTTTTTTATGAAAGTCGGAAAGTAACTCTGATACCATATAAAAGGGGTAGACTAGACCCCGACAAAGAATAGAAGATCACATCTTCACACCTCCATATAGAAGAACTGTTCATACTGTCAGCTCCATTCTACCCCATAATCACTGCAACTTTGTGCATCTGTGGAAACTTAGGAGAACCAATAGGAGAATTCATGGGTGAATGTTTCAAAGTTAGCCCGAGTATTGTTGGCTGTCTCACACGTGGGGGCTCATAATTAGTAACAAGACGTTGTGCCCCTCACGAAGCAAGTTCGGCTACATCGACAAAGCTCATTCCGCCCATATTAAATCGATTACGATTAATATCCAGTCAAAATGAGTGATTCTAACTCCAAGAACTCAGATGGGTACCGGCTGGGGCGCAGTTACCTATCCGCGTCAAGGTATTTATACCAAAGCACAGTTTACGGGCGTGTATGAGTCGTCCTGACAAGCTTTTAGGTTGAATCTACAACACTTTTTATACAAAGATGCCCAGGGTTTCTTATTGCACCCAGTGATCCAAGCCGAGCTACGAAAAAAGCAGGCAACCGAAAGCGAAGAATCATTGTCTATTGCCGACCTAGCCACCGGAACAGGGTCGGTAACATGTTGTTCTGTAAGACCCGTGATGAGCTCACTAACACAAGCTCATAGACTATGGATTTTTGACTTGGTCAAGTCGCCCGAGGTCAGTGGTCTAAACATTAAGTACCACGGCTTCGATATCAGCAGGGCCCTGTTTCCGCATAATTCTTGGTTGCCGAAGAACATAGTTCTATCTACATCAAACCTACTTGAGGAGCCACCACAGTCGCTTCATGGACAGTTTGACGTTGTGCATATACGCTTGGTTCTGTCCTTAATTCGTAGCGGGAGCCCGAAGCCCGTCATTCAGCATATCAAGATGCTCCTGAGTCTGTCCTTCCTAGCCTATATATTTAGTAATCTTAGGGCAAGACTCAACTAACATATTAATAGAACCAGGTGGGTATTTACAATGGGATGAGCGTGAGTAATCTCGGAGTCGATTGATTTATATTTCGGCGGCTCTAGGAGTATAAACCTCTTTTCGTGCTACAATTATATTCTTCAAAATTCCTATGTCTCGAGAGACATTCAAAAGCCATGCTCCAACTAGCGGGAACTAACTCAAGGTTTTGTAGTTGACCCGTTCAACCACTACGACGTAGTAACACCGAAACCAGATATCAGCGCGCCGAGTATGACCGCTACGTTTCAAACCATCGCAAATCTTGCAGATTGGAGGTTCGTTTCTCTACTAGGTCGCTCCAGAAAGGATATATAAAGCTAATATGAAGGGCTCAAGTTGGATTGCAAAGCTTCCCGAAACGATGCTAGAAGAGGGGTTTCAAGAGGCAGCCCAGCACGCTCATGGATCGAACCCCGAGATGTTTAAGGTCTGGACGCATATGGACCTATGTTCGGCTGAAGAGCTCAGTTTGCACTGGTCTGGGCCAGACGACGAGAATGGAAAGGCCTGGAGACACCTCATTCCCAAGGCGGAGGAAGAGAGTGATGAGCCTACCGGAGCGGTGATAAGGGTTCGCCCAACAGTAACGATAGCAAGGAAACCGTTTTAATTACTTACAACTGGAGGAAAGGGCAAGGGCGGCTCTTTATTTCCGGTATATTCGAAGGACCTATTATCGATATATTTAGAGTTCTGAGGCCTATTAAGCATTCCTTGCTAGTTACGTGTCATATCGCCGACATTACATTTGTTATAAATTCAACTCTTTTTGAACACTATTTATATCTTCTTCCACTTCAATTGTATCTTATAGGTAAATCCGGATCCTCACATCCTATTTCGTTGATAATAGCCTGTAAGACCGAAGGGGGAAATCCATTTGAGGTCATACTTTAGTTTTGTAGTAGATTTTAGCCCGACAGCTTAAAGGCAAATTTCCCTGAAGGCTGACAATATTCACTGGATTCATATACTATATGACACGCTTACTTCGGGGCAATAAAGACTTAGTAGACCACAGAGGGCTTACTCACTTGTAGTCTTTCGCAAGTCTAAGAGGCTATATCATGGCTTTTATTGTAAGATCTAATTTTGCTAGTAAGGCCAAACAATAGAGATTCGGAATTTTATATCAATCGTCTAATTTAGAGACATACATATTTAGGTTTTTGCTTACGTCCTAATGATGGTACGACTTGATGTAGGTGTAGTTACTATTAATTAAGCTACGCCTAATGTCCTTTGAATTATCTCCGAAGCAAAGAGGGAATTCCCGGTTGTTAAAGGTTAAACTTAAATAACCCAGCCCTGGACACTACTGCACAAACGAAACTTTGTCAAGTTTATAGTTTTTTACAGCGATTTATACATAAAACAGGGAAATAACCTAAGAAATCACTTTACAATACCTCATGTTTACTATTTAAGTATATATAAGAATATTTAGGGATTTTGTTTATTATATAGTTACCGCTTTATACTTTGTTTTATTTATAAACCTCGTCTCTGACCATGGCATCCTAGAATTGGGAAATATAACAAAGTAGAACAAAGTATAATACTTAATTTAAACATTTCCAATGGAAGTTCTTAGGATTACAAATAGGTCATGAACTAGTAATTACTTTTTATTATTTTCCGCTCAATAACTTGACCTTCATATTGAAAGAGGTTAAGGAGAAGATTTAACTCTTTCAAGTTTTAAAAGCACGATAACTTTATACTGAACCTATATATGAGCTATTACGCGTTCATATCTACTGGGATAAGATTCCCTGGGCCTCTTTGAATGCTCTTACCAAAGCGTTTTACTCTATGATCAAAAGATGTATATGAAATTTGAAGGATAACTGATTCCACAGCATTGAGAAAACAGACTATTGCGCTATTAGTTTGAAGCATATAGTATATTGCCTTACTACCATGATACCATGTCTCGCGGATTAATAGCTACTCTCCTAAGCCTTGCTAGCACGAAGACACAGAATTAGAATGGAACTACACCCCTAGCCCTCAGACGCGAATTATTTCTGGATTAAATAAATGATTGTGTTGAAAGAGCTGTTTGTATAGATAGACGGTACTCCTAAATCTCACCTACGTACAAAACGTGGCAAGCTGTTTGTCATATAAATAATGCCTTGAAACCCTATTTTCTAGCAGTAAAGGTGTTCTATTTTATAATTCCATGTCTGATTTTTCAAAGATTGTTATGCATTGCATGCATACTTTAAACTAGCCTTGTTAATAGTTATGAGTGCCAGCATGGCTTTATTACACTTAACCTGAAGTTTTAACTATTTATTTGCAATATTTAATATACACATATCTGCACATTCTAATTACTTGTTTACTAACATTTTAACTTCAGAAACTTGATTTCTTCTCCTTGTAAAACATTTTTATTCGTGTGTGCAGTAAATATTACACATAAAATAAATAATGTGATCCACTTCGCACCAATAGTCGGCGCCAAGACCTGTAGTGAGAGGTTGAAAAAAAAAACCTCCCCGGGAAAGGCTCGAACTTTCAACCTCCTGATTAACAGTCACTGTAATATTGTTAGACACTAAGTCGATTGTTTGCTTGTCTGAAGATAACTTACGACGCGCTAGCCAATTGCGCCACCGAGGATAACTGGTAGTTGTTAAGCGCCGCGATATTGCGGGCTATTCCTGGGGCGAGGATTTGGGAAAACTAGTCGATAAAATTAGATAATAGCCTATACTCCGCCTTTGCTACTTGGCCCCTTCATGTCGACCGCCTATAATAAGAAGATAAAGAAGATTACGGGAAGGATTATCGTGAAACAAAATATGGCGTTAAATGTATTGAGAACAATAGTTCGTATTCTTTAAGCGCTTGGTTAGAATGCCGTAGAAGAGATTGCACGGGGAAGGCTGGTTTTGCCTAAAGTGATGTATAGTCTCAGGTGTAAGATTATTACGGTATTATTCATGATACTAACAGGTAAGTCCAAGCCTCTAATCCACACCTAGACGTCCTTTCACCCCCGGCCCCCTAGCCAACTATCAATATCTGATGACGAGCTTTATAAATACAGCCCCGATATTAGTGGCTATAGAAATCCCCTATGAGATACCGAGAATCCTCGAGATGAGAGGGGATAGATGTGGGAGAAGCCCGGTTTCTTTTTCTTAAACAGGGACTGCATCTATTGATAATGGATTCGGGCATAACGGGATCTTCTCTAACATAGAATTAGAATAGAAATAGCAGTATAACTAGAATAGATGTTAATACTCTAAGAAAAGACTGCCGGAAACTTTTGCCACGAAACTAGGTCTCGTGTTCTAACTACAAATAGTTGGTAAGTCGAAGGGATAGACTAGTTGTACTTCCTCTAACGATGTGGTACCCGTTGTTGCGTCGTTGTACCTATCCCACCTTCTATTTTTGTTTCTAAAACCTCGCTCGATCCCAGACTGAGGCAATACTTGTCGTGGACGCCGTTATGTCTGGCGAGGGGGTTTGTGTAGACGAACGCCTCCCCCGGTATTCATAACTACTAATTAATATCCTGTTGATACGGCTCGGCATGAACTTTGAATCGGGCTGTGCTTCGTTTCAGTTCTTGAATTACAGTATGGCTTTTAGGAGCCGCATCCGTTGCTCGCACGCCGCCGCCGTATGGGGTTGGTATAGGCGAGTAATTACAGCATGTATGTATGTAGATGTTATTCAGCGGGGTCGGGTCAAGCGAGGTAACATGGACAGATGCTTGGTTACATGCAATTATTTCCTAATTCGTGCTGCTCTTTTATTTTTCTAAAGGCGTGATGTAACGAGAAACATGAAACACGAAACAAGTTTCTGTAAATAGGTCTCGTCATGGCATCTGGGGCTCTCGCCTGTGTTTTAGCCTCATGCAGAATGCGCGAACCTACATACATACCTATGTATAGGCACCACATGCGGGCGTGGGTGTGCGCACTTTGGGCCTCTGAGGGTTGGTTTTGGGTGCACGCACCCGAGGTACGGTAAATAGGGCCATTTGTGTGCGACCCCGGCCGGGCGAAGAGCATGATCTCACATATTCTACCCTACAGTGCAGCGTACTTACATACCTCATCTACTCTGTACATACATACAGTAGGTGGGCATTCCGAGCGGCGTCGACGCCAGGCAGGAAAGGTGGATATTGATTTGACATCCTGTGGCAAGGCGAGGCGAGTTCTGCTGCTACCTGCCCGACTGGGGCGTATCGTCGGCTCGGCATATACCTACACCACACTACACCCCGCCACACAGCCTCGTTTCAGAGTTTCTGACGATGTTTCTATTCTTGTTCACAGAGGCGATCTACTACAACTCCAGTATGTAGAAACGGGCTAATCAGACAGATACCCGATCGATGGTAGTGGGTTTGTTGGAGCTGTTGTGTGCGGCAGATCGTAAGCCAAGCCTCGATGTCGATCTCATGGTGGACTGGAGATGGCCTAGTGCTGTACAGGTAGGTAGTCTGCATACAGAGACTTATGCGTACATACTGTGACGTAGCAGTCAACACGGTTCCTGTTTCGTTTCATCTGCACAATACCTACTCCAGCGGAAACAATCTACCCCCTCCCACTCACCTGACCAACTGTCATCTCAGCTACATAGGTAGGCAGGCTACTGTTTATTTAATAGTAGCGTAGCGGTTCCCCTCTTGCACATCACGCCTCCTCGGTACATATTCTCGCCTACCCTAGCTTCGGATAAGGGCCTAGATACTTAGGTGTATACTATAAGTCACTACTAACTTGGTACTTTCTAGAGCTACACAGGTGGATGTATCTCTTTAAGGGAGCTAGTACACTTAGATGGTAAAATATTGTTGGAGCTTGTATGTAACGTTAGCGAGGGCCTAATACCTGCTGGCTACGCCGTATTTACGCTCTTTTGCGACGGCCGATTATACAGGACCAACGGGAGCGTGTTCAATAAAGCTCCGAATTACAGGTCGTGCGGAGCAGCTGAATAACTAGTCGCACACACCCGCGCGGGTGTGACTTGAAGCGGACGCCCGGCCTGTAGAAGCACCCTGATTCGGTGCTGTCCCAAGCATTGAAACCGCAGCTCTGCGGGGAGCCAACGCCTGGATGAACAGTCGGGCGGGCGAGCTGGACAAATCGGGACATGTGGCTGTTCCCATGGGGAAGGGCTGCTCTCTAGCTAGCTACACTGTACAGAATACTGCATCTCTCTCTCCCCACCTCCTGGTCACTTATCTGGCTGTATTGTATGTACTGTATGCGTATGTAGCTAGTTCTTGGACCGGGTCTGAGCCGGGTATGACGGCAGAGGCAGAAGCACATCTGTCTTTCCTCTCCTAACCCCCTCCTTACTGTGATAAAGAAACGCCACCGTTATCGTTTGCTGTTAGCGATCCCCGTAGGGAATACCTACCTACCTTCTCGAGGCCGTTAGTGACGCATGATGCTACAGCACTAAGAAGAGGGTATTTGTACCAAAAAGCAGATAATTACAGCTGCTATTGCATACCAACCTTGCCTAGAGCCAGCAGGACAAGGTTCTTCAGATGATTAGGGCACCTTTCCAGTGTAGGTCCATATGTACGATGCTGGTCGTTGCATGGTAGCCTAGGGACAGGTGCTTCTCGATGTAACCACATCCGCCTTTCACGTCGCAGTACATAATCGAAAAGACCTATCAGAGATGTGTCACCGCGGTATGCACAGATACTGTTTCTCTCTACATCAAGCTAGAAGGATCGTATTCCCTGCACCCACATGGCAAAGGCGTGGGATGGCCGTCGGGAGAAGGAGACCCGAGGTGAGGGAAGAAAGGGGAGAAGAAAAAGAAACTCCAGCATACATAGGTGTACATACGTAAGTTGTTTGCACTATTCTTTACTCTGTAGAAAAGCATACCTAGAGCAGGGGAGGATGATATCAAGGTTAGGTACCATTGGTATCTAACCTATATGTAAGTAGGTATGAATCGAACCATACCTACAAATACATACTGTAGTAGATACTTCTGACGACTTTGGTGGAGAAGCGACAGAACGGCGATGCTATGGGGCATTTAATTTTCCTCGTTGGGAATAACTCAGGCCCAATACAGGACGATGTCAGGGGCAACTGACTACCTGGTTGATAAAAGACGGGCCGTCTCTCGCTATCGAGCAATGCAAGCCAGATTGCACGGTTGCGTTGATGCAAGAGCATTCACGTCCTAATGTTCCTACACGTTGCCATGGCTCAATCATATCCATTTCTAAGTATAGAAACAGGGGACAGGGGTCTGCGAGAGGGGTGTCGTTTTCTCTTTATTACATACCCAGGTACTCTATTTCACGCGCGACACCACTCCGACCTCAGACTGGCTAGCCACTTTGTGAACCGCGTCCAGCACTGGAGCTTTTATCTGCTACGCCGCACGCCAGCATGCGAACATGCGCGGAGGTTGAGGTTCTTCCTGTTTGTCCGGCGTATGTATGGCAATGTACCGTGGCAGTGTCGTATCATCTGCATAGGCTGCATACCGTGGTCGCTGTAGCTACGCTTACTCCCCGGTCTAGCGTTATTTACCTCTACAGTAGATGCTGTATGTAGGTAGTGTATAGCACGCGTACCTGGATCGTAAGTGAGCATGTCCATACTCATCCGGGGTCGACGAGAAAAGGCGATCGGCCTGGACTAGCTCGTCTACCTAACTCAATCTAATGCATGGGCTTTCCACCGAAAACCGAGTACTCTGATCCTCCCTTGAGGGATTGCATCACGTCGATGCACTGCGCCCGCGCGGGGGAGGCGGGCAGTATCAAGATCGACTGTAAAGTATGTTGAAATTGAGATTTGTCGGATGTCCTCGTCGTTTGTGTTTATTTAGAGAATCAACTATAGGCGATAACTTCCGGGCATCGTCGGAGAGGCGCCGCTCATGCGTATGTACTCGCCACCGAGGCCCTAATTAAGCTAGACTATGTGCTCGTGCTAGGGAAGCCGGAGAGCAGGAAAGCATCAATGCTTTTATGTAGAGACCTGCATGCATGCATACGGATGTTGAGCCTCTCGGCGCCGCCTAATCGTTTCATGTTCTCAGTCGTAGGTGTTTCCGAATTATCTAGATTAGTAGCCGACCGGTTCAACGATACATCATGTGCTGTAGTAGTACTGGTGATGGTCTTTGCCACATTTAGGCTACAAATTAATTCAAACTCATACCTAGTACTAGACGGATTATGCATGATGGATAGGTCAGTTGCAAGGAGGCAAATAGGGTTGATTTGGATTTCATAATTCTAGACTTGAGATTAGAGCTCTACCAATAATGGTCATGATCGGCCAATGCGCATGGCATCGACTACATCATACATGCTGTGAGGTTGCGGTAGAAACTCTGAATCGAGTCATCGGTGCCTGAGTATGAAGACTGGATACCACATGAACTAATTCTAAAGCGTATATGGAAAACTTGTAAAACCGAACATGCCTGATCTAGACCTTCGAGGCCTATTAAGAAGATGCTCTAAGCGTATCTAGAAGGGACTGTGCTCATGGGGTTCCCAAGAGTTCTACATTCATCCCATGGGGATTGGTTACACAGTAAGTCGAATTAGAGAGTCCTAGTAACACGAGGGTATAGGATTGTTCTACTCGGAG